GCACATTTACACTGTTTGTACCTTGATGAAGGAAAAATGTATCTACATAGAACCTTTACTTCTAACAGTGTATGCAGTTCATGCTGTCAATAAACATAAGGGCCTCAGGGAAATTCAGGAATTCTAAGTATGTGCCTTTATTGTCATTATCCACTTTACACAGCACAACGAAATTCTTTACATATTATTGCTGTCCAAAGAAAAACAAGCATCTCCAAAATAGTACTTTTACAGGAGAGGGCAAAAACCTTCTTTGCTTTCAATGTAAGTCAATGGAAAGAGGTTTTATTCTAAGCAAATTTGGAGCATTTCTATTGGTCCAAACATCATGAAATTTTGACACAAAGTAAAGGACAGCTGCTAAGATCAAAGGATGCAGAAAAGTAAAAATCACAAAAGATGGAGATACATGTTTTTCATTGGACGGCGACGATATACAGTGGTGCTTGAAAGGTTGTGAACCCTTTCTGCATAAATTTGACCTAAAACTTCATCAGATTTTCTAAAAAAAACTTCATCTGAAGTCCTAAAAGTAGATAAAGAGAATAAAATTAAACGAAAAGACAAAAGTATCTGACTTGGTCATTTATTTATTGAGGAAAATGATCCAATATTTCATATCTGTGAGTGGCAAAAGTACCTCAACCTTTGTTTTCAATATCGGGTGTGCAGCAGTAACTGCAACTAAACGTTTCTGGTGACTCTTGATTAGTTAGAAAGATCTAACAGACAGAACTGTAGATTACTTAGAAAGCTGGGGTCAGAGAACAGGGTCAGCCATGATACAGCACCCTGAAAGCGTCTCAAGAACCAAAGAGTTCTGAACCCACAGTTGCCTCTAACTTAGCAACCACTGTCCCAATTTTTTTTTTCAGGAGATACACATCTGTAATTTTTAGTTCATCTTTATTTAATATAATCACCGTCCCTCTTTTTGAAGTATTTAAACGCTGCAAGAATTGTAGTAAAACTCTTATTCCATTGTAACGTTTTGTACGGAAAGAAAAGGGTTTAATTCTTACAAACCCAACAGAAAATTATCCAATCCAATAACCATCTAGGTAGATACAGCCAAATGAGCTCTCTTATTGGTTATGACTTCAGAGGGTGGACAGAACTGCTAAGGCATCCGTTCGACCACCAACATAATTTGGATGTAAAAATGAACTCACCAAATTTTGCCCCTTCCAATGGGTGGGACCCCAAAAAAAAAAAGGAAAAAATTTTTGGTGCATTATGAAATGAAAAATACGACAAAAGAGCCCCCGACATGATGAGCAGCTGAAATCCTATATCAAACAAGAACAGAAGGCTCCCGAGTGGCACAACCGTCTAAGCGTTGGCCCTGTCATCAGGAGATCGCGAGTTCGATCCCTGGTGATGTTACAGCCGTCCGTAGCCGGGAGTCCGAGAGAGCACAATTGGCCTCGCTCTCTCTGGGTGGGTAGGATGTTAGCTGACGTAACAGATCTGGCGGTTGGCGCTTTCCTCCGAGCGCGTTCAGCTGTCCAGTGACGTTGCGTGAGCGGCAGTTCGAAAAGAAGCGGTGGCGCTTCACAGGTCTCGGAGGAAGCCTGTGTTAGCCTTCACCCTCCTAGCGTTGATAGCATTGTGTGACTGGGGGAGTCCTAACTAGCGGGTGGAATTGGAGACGACTAAATTGGGGAGAAAATTGGGTAAAAATTAAAAAGTAAATAATAATAATAAAAAAAAACAAGAACAGAAAACATTTCACTTTCAAAACTCCAGCAGTGTCTCCTCAGTTCCCAAACACTTACAGTGTGTTGTCAAAGGAAGAGGTGATGAAACACAGTGGTAAACAGACCCCGTCCCAACTTTTTTGGAACATGCTGCTGGCATCAAATTCAAAATAGGCATATATTTTTCAAAAAACAATAAAATTTCTCAGTTTCAACATTTCATATGTTGTCTTTGTAGTATTTTTCTTTAAAACTATGGTTTACATGATTTGCACATCATTGCTTTTTTTTTTATTCACATTCTGCACAGCATCAACGTTTTTGGAAATGGAGTTGTATTTATTATTTATTTTTTTACAATACATGCAGTTGTTCAGTGTTCTTGAGATACTGATGATACCCACGATACACTCTGAACAGCATATCGTTACATAATTTATCACAATAATAGCAAATCGTATCGGCCACCCAGTTATTTTCACACGAAACACCACGATGACAACAGGCTTATGTACAACCGCTAACTTTATTTAGTTATTAGTACAAATTGATATACTGAGCAGACAGCAGTAGTACAGTGCCCTCTATATGCTTGGAGGACAAAGCATGATGCATCATCACCACAAGCTCAATCAAGGCAGCAGTACAATCATAGATCAACAGTGAACACCCACCCAGGAAAACAACGATAATATTCATCTGGATAATAATAATAATAGAATTCATAAAGCTACAAAATCTAATAGAGGAAGTAATCGATACAGTTTGAGTATATTGGAATAGCTACCCACTGTACAGGAGGGATGGAGCAAGTCAAAACCAAACCCCTTCTTCAACTTATCCTTGTGTTAATGTGGGAGGTGTGTGCGTATACTTGCAGGGGGTGGGGGGTGGGGGGGGTAAGTGGGTGGGCTTCATAGTATTAAATATTAAAACAACTTCTTCAGTGATGGACACTGCCTCCAAATAGTGTACAAGTTTATCATCTACAGTCAGTTTTGGCGATTTTTTTTCCCGCCAGCTCGTATTTTCTAAATGTGTTTCAGTCAGAAAACAGAATATCTTATTTAAAAGGCGTTTTGCGTCAGGTCTGTGTGTCACAATGTAAAATCTATTCATGCTCCGCCCACAAATAGTGTTTTCATAGCAACTAGATTGGAAAAGCTGACAAAAAGCCCTTTCAATCTGTTGAGATATTGTAGCGCCCATGTCGTGTTTTTGTATATCGCTGTCGTCGGAAGAAAACCTCGTATCTCCAAAATGGTAACTTTACAGGAGAACGAAAAAACCTACTTTAGTTTTAATGTAAGTCAATGGAACCAGAGTTGGAAAGATGTCATTTTGGGCCGTTTCTTGTGCTCCATTCATCATGAAATTTTCACCCAACGTAAAGAACAACAGGTACTTTCAAGTTATGTCAAAACCTGAAAAATGTCAAAAATGGAGATACAAGGTTTTCAGTAAATAGGGCTCTTTTTTGTTTTAGCTTAACGTTAACATGGTCCCAAATTCAGCATTTTCATTTCCAACACGTCTGGTTTCATTTAGCTACAACAACATAATAGAGCTCAGTATTTTTAGCATTTAAAACCAGAAAAAAAAAAAAAACACAATTTATCACTGTGAGATTTTTGTCAAAGCTTGTCAAACAGCTGCTATGAAACAGTGCAGCTGTGGGTGGAGCATGGATAGGTCAACGGCCCAGTCACTGTATGCCAAGCTTAGTGGGTCACATAGAGTCATGACAGACTGAATAGGGGAAGAACAGGAGGTCTACAGTACCTGCAGAAACATCTAAACAAAAGCATATACACTCCCAATATATTACACTGAAAAGAGGGACATGCTTCTCAGTAGTTCTTGGTAATAAGGTACAGTCAAACAAGGCTGTTAACAACTATTCTGCAATTAATAGAACCAAAAGAAAGATATTTTTCACAAAGCACAACATATTAACAGGAGTCATAATAATGATAATAACGGAACCTCCCCGGTCACAAAAAAGAGTAACTGAACTGCACTGAGGACAGAACGAAAAGCAGAAGGAGGGAGACAAGTGTGCGAGTCCTCTATAGTGGGGGAGCGAGAGGAAGACCTTGGAGAGGGACATATCGTACCTCTCTCACTAACGAGTGCCTTCTGAATCTACTCAAGACACCAGCCTTCATCTAAATATGTACATTTCGAGAGGAGATGGAGACTCAAAAATATTTCCTTTTTTTTTTTTAAAGAAAGGACAAACAGTATCTAGACGAAAACCTAGCTGAATAGCAAAACCGAAGAGGATTTAAGGGGAAAAAAACAAAGACAAAGCATAAGTAGGAGTGAACAAAGAGAAAGGTTCGACTATACGGTAGAATATGACTGCATTTCAATAGTTTAAACACATCTTGAGTACAAACAGTCACACTTTGCATCCCTTCGTAACACCAGAACTCACTGGTTTCAGAATGAAAGGGGAATTCCACTTTTTTTTTTTCAAAAACTCGCTTGCTTGTTGAACAGTAAATAAAGTTATTCAGATTGTTTTGCAGAAAGATTGAGAAATTTAATGACCAAAAAAAAAAAAAACAACTTTTTATTAATATCTATAATCTAGGATGGTGTTTTAAGGCCACTGTTAATAAAAATAAAAGTAGTAGACTTTGAGAATAAGGTTGTACGGTATGATATTTCGAGAAAAACAGTCATACTATTCCAAGAAAAAAAGGCAGCACCTCCTCGTGTTAAATGAGGGGCGGTGAGTTGGTGGAGTTCTACTTTCATATCGATTCACCCATAAAGAAACACTCAGCCTCCCTGTCTCTCCTGCACATCAGCACCAGCCTGTTATTGGTATAAGAACCGGCTGAAACGGCTGAGCAGGAAACTGTTTATCTAGAATAAAGAGCCAGACGGACTCGGAGGAAACTGTCTGTCTGTGTTGTTGAAGGAGAATCTCAGGCAGGGTCGTCTACACGGCTATCGGGGGCTACATCTCCCCCCATTCAAAGAGGGCATGAAGTTTCACAGACAGTGAGAATGATTATCAAAATGATCCACTGAGAGACAGGAGTGAGTGGAGCTCCGGCACCAGTACAGCAACCGAGACCCTTGAAATTTTTCTTGAAATATTATGACTTTATTCTTGCAATATTACAACTTTTTTTCAAAAAATATTAAGAGTTTTTTTCTTGAAATAAAGATTTTTTTTCTCAAAATATTATGGCTTTATTCTTGAAATATTACGGCTTTATTCTTGAAATATTACAACTTTATTCTCAAAGCCTACTATTTTTATTTTTATTAACAGTGGCCCTAAAGCGCCATCTTAATAATCTGCAATGCTGAGGGTGCTTAAAATTGTGGTGGTAAATTACATGAACGCAGTGTAAAAGCTTTCTTTGAGCCCTATTTTTCCCTACAGTGCACTTTGCTTCAAGACACATGTACTGTTAATGATTTCTGGGATAATGAACAAAATCTCTGCACTGTGTACTCTGTGAGCCATGGTTCCCATCACCACCACTGGAAAGAAACGTGAGTATTTTTCTCTAATTTTTCTTTTCAAACATTCTGTGTGACTTTGTTTACATCTGATGAAGTGAATTCAACTGACATTTTGGGGAAGAAAAAAAAAAAATCAGTGCAACTCCCCTTTGAGAGAGAGAGAACGAGACAGACAGAGAGAGAGAGAGAGCAAGAGAGACAAGGTTTAGCAGGACACCTCCATGGTTTGTGGTCTGGCCTGGTTGTCGTGTCCTGGGCCGGCAGTCGCGCCCTCCGGCTGGGAGCTGGTGTGAGTGCGGCTACGCACCCCGTCCACCGAGCTTACGCTGGACGCCGAGTGGGTACGAGAGCGTGCCAAACGGGTCATGCTGGCAGTGGGCACTGGATGGACAGAGAAGAGGGTGGGGAGATGGAAGGGAAAAGATGAAAGAAGCATGAGTCGATGTCCTTCAGAATATAAAGCATAGCATTCAGAACTGAACTACTGTATGGGGTTGGAGGTGGATCTGAAGAGTGGGGGAATACAGTCGTGTGGGAAAGGGTGTCACAAACACTTGGTACTGAGTTTGTGCCATTCCATTCCTGATACATGGTGCTCTAAGTAGCAGGGAGAATAATGAGCTTTCTTCACAAAAAGATGAAGATACCAGTTTGGCAGCACTGAAGGAGACCATACTAGGGCTGCAACTTAGGATTACTCTGATAACTGATGAACCTACTGACTAGTTTCTGATTAAATCTAGCTATTATGCTTCTTTGGTTGCTCTCCTTTAGCAGCTGCCTCCCTCCTTCAAAGATTTCTTCTTTTATGATGCAATGATCAATACGCATACAATCACCATATGCGATACCCCTGCAAGAAACAGGGTGGGGGTGATGTGGAGGTTTGCGACATACATTTAACACTTTTAACTGCTGTTTAATGGCTCGATATCAAAAAAGGAACAGGTCTACGTCTTGAGATTAACTTGGATAAATGCTGGTTAGGCTACTGAACACGGTATATGATTGGATATAACATTTAAACGGCACAAATTAGGCAAAACACAGGCTTCCTTTTTGTAATACAAGCCAAGAATTACCAATGAACAATTACCGAAATTATATATTTTAAATATATCGCTGCTGTCGGAAGAAAACCTCGTATCTCCATTTTTCGTTTTTTCAGTTTTGGACATAATGAAAAAAGTACCTGTTGTCCTTTACATTGTGTACATTTCATGAAAAATGAAGAAACTTCCCAAAAACGACTTGGAAAAATGTCTGGTTCCATTGACTTACATTAAAAGTAAAGTAGGTTTTTTCCTTCTCCTGTAAAGTTAACATTTTGGAGATACGAGGTTTTCTTCCAACAACAGTAATATGCATACACATATACACTCACCAAGCACTTTATTAGGAACACCTACTCATTCATGCCATTATCTAATCAGCCAATCACATTGCAGCAGTGCACATATGCACATATGGGCCAGCAGCTTCAGTTAACGTTCACATCCATCATCAGACTGGGAAAAACGTGATCTCAGTGATTTCGACTGTTGAATGTTGGAGCCAGACGGGCTGGCTCATGGGTTTCTGAAGATCTTCTGAGATTTTCACGCACACCAGTCTGTAGAGTTAACTCAGAATGGTGCAATAAAGAAAAAACATCCAGTGACCCGCAGTTCTACACCCAGATACTGTTTGTTGATGAGGGAGGTCGACTGAAAATGGCCAGACTGGTTTGAACTGACAGAAAGGCTACAGTCACTGAGATAACCACTTTGTACAACTGCGGCAAACAGAAAAGCATCTCAGAACGCAGATTTCTGCTGAGAAATACAGAAGTGGGGTCAGAATTTGGCACCAACAGCATGAATCCAGGGACCCAACCTGCATTGTGTCAACAGTCCCGGCTGGTGGAGGTGGTGTAATGCTGTGGAGAAGGTTTTCTCGGCACACTTTGGGTCCGTTAATACCAATCAGTATTGTTGCTGACCATGTCCATCATGGCCACAATTTACCAGCTTCTAATGGTGGCTTTCAGCATGATAATGCACCATATCACAAAGCAGAAGTCGTCTCAAACTGGTTTCGTGAACCTGACAATGACTCAGTGACAATGACCTTTTCAGTGGCCTTCCCAGTGACCAGATCTGAATCCAACAGAGCATGTGGGATGTGGCAGAATGAAGGCCTCAGGACACTTCTTGCGGAGACGACGTTCGCCTGGCTTCAGCGAACAATTTGACGTAATTGTGGAGAAAACAAACAACCGCAGACGTCGCGCAGAGGCTTCGTTCACTGTGTCGTGCACATGGCAGCTGGGCGAACTCCGTAAATGAAAACAAAATGCAACAAAGCCTGTGATTGGTCAGTAAAAAAGAGGCGTGCCATAAAACAAAGATGGACAGCTTTGAGGAGCTTCGATTCGGAAGAAGTACGATGAGCACTTTGGCAATATTTCACTGTTAAAAAAACAGTCTATTATCCTGTATTATCCGCTAACTAGTAATAAGCACCAAAACACACAAGTTATTTTATATTTAGGTTTCTCGTTCCACCTTAAATGATGTCAGTATTCAGGAATTGCATGTCGCCATTGTGAAAACTGTGACAGAATCGGTTTCCACTAGTCATGGAACTTATTATAAAATGTCACAGCATCACCTGCATTAGTGGAGCATCCGTAACAGGCAAAACGAAACTGCAGAAAGAATGCAAGCTTGTAAGCTCATGGAGGCGTTTTCGGCTTGCAGTCACCCTCCAAACTGAGTTTCGCAAGAAGTATGCTGAGGCCCAGTGCACCTGAAAAATCTGAAGGAACTGCACAATGCAATCAAGCCAACATGGGTCAGAATCACAAACATCTTGTGGAATCCATGCCACAAAGAACTGAGGCTGTTTTGAGAGCAAAGGGAATCACTACCCAATAAAAGTATGGTGTTCCTAATAAAGTGCTTGGTGAGTGAACACATATATATCCCTGTTGTCGGAAGAAAACCTCGTATCTCCATTTTTGCCGTTTTCCAGTTTTTGACATAATTTGAAAATACCTGCGGCCCTTTACATTGTATGTAAATTTCATGATGAACAGACTAAAAGAAATGACCCTAAATGACTTGGAAAAAATGTCTGGTTCCACTGACTTCCATTAAAAGTAAAGTAGTAAAGTTTTTCCTTCTCCTGTAAAGTTACCATTTTGGAAATACAAGGTTTTCTTCCAACAACAGCAATATATATATATATATATATATATATATATATGTAAAAGTTTGAAGTGCCAACCACCACGGTCAGCAGACTATTTTCAGTTTTGCGGTCACTGCTGCAGCCCTAACTGCAATCTGATAGAACTGGTGTTATTTTCATACCTGACATAATCACTACAGTGATAAACCACATGTTTTAAACAGTGCTGCCACTATCTTGTCATTATTCTCCCAAAAAAGAAAAAAAACATCCCCAGATCAGGATCGAGTTTCAATTCATTTTTACTGCAGCTGAAAAAATGAATGTTCAGGAATCGCAACCCATGTAGAAATGCAGCATGCATTAATGCCAAATAATGCATCAGAAAGAAAGAAAGACAGAGAGAGCAAGAGAGAGAGCAAAATAAGTCATACCTGTGACAACCTTACCAGTGTGCTTGAATTCGCACCCTCTCAACGTTAAACATACAGCATATTGAGGTTATGACTGACCATACAATCATGCTTTTTACACCATGATGCAGAGACAGGGAGAAACAGAGGAAGGGGCTAAATGGTCCAAATTGTAAAGAGAGGGAGAGAGAGAGAGAGAGAGAGAGAGGAAGAGAGAGAGAAATGGACTGAATGGACAGACAGTAAGTGGACGAAACGGTGGAGATGGCGGTTTGGAAGTCTAAAGTGCTGTCTGAACTCCTGGTACCTGAGTCGCTGTTCAGGTGGCTGAGGAGCACATGGGGGACTGTTCACGTTTGACGGAGGGGTCAAAGAGGAAGAGGAGAGAGAGATGAGGGAAATGGAGAGATTACCAGTAAGACTTTCTAAAAGACTGAAGTCATATAGAGAAGAAACACAAGACAGATTAGCTGGAGGGTCAAGGGGAAAGTGTCGGGATGTCAGGGTGGAGGTCTCTGTCTAAAAAAGGGAACCGGCTCTGTCAACAGAAGCTATATTTGCACATTATTTTGCATACCAAAAACCCCAGCGTTAACCATAACCTTTTCTAGCACAAAGCCTAATTCTCACTTAACCATAGCCCTAACCACAGGATACTAACAACCATAATAGTCAAAATGAATCACTCAGGTTATTAACAGTGACTCACTATGATTTTTTCCCAAGTCAACAGCTTGCACAACTTTATATCAAAGTGTTTTAATGCTTTTCTTTGATAGTGCTGGGCGATATACTGTATGTACTGGTATGAGCGTCAATAAATAATACTGTTTTGTTGGTTTAGCAGTATAGACAAAAAGCAAACTCCTAAAAACTACAATGCATTTGCTGGGCGATTAAAAAACATAAAACTAAATAAATTGTCATTTTCCTTTCTAGCAATCCAACTGCTGTCAGGTTAATGCTTATAGTACCATGTAAGGGTCCCTTAGGGCAGGGGTCGGCTAAGAAGAGACATTTTGTCCTTTCAATAAAAATCAAACCACCTCGGGAGCCACATTTTATGTCCATTTCACCATCTTGGTTGTAAATATGTCTCAGTATGTGCTGATGTGCTAGTATAGGCTAAAAATATAAACGAAAACACAGACTCACTTTGCTTTAAGCTTTAGCTCAGCTATAGCTGCTTTTCTCGCATCTCCAGCAGGAAACTTTTCCAAAAAAAGTAGAACAGTTTCTTGTAAAATTTCTCTCAAAAATCGACTTTTTACGAGGCTGAAGTCGCTTCTCATTCGGCAGCTTCTTGTTTGAATTTTCCCGTTCCACCTTAAATGCTGCCTGAAACAATTTGAACGAGAAGTTGACTTCAGCTTCAGCTTTTTCGGTTTCTCACTGTAGATTAAACATTATCAGGAAACCAGCTGAGTGCTTATAAATGCAAATAAGACCAATCGCCTCCAAATTATTGATGTTCATCTTAAATCTTTCTCTTTGCCTTTTCGCTACTAGATCTGCGTTTCTGTGTGACCAGCAGTCTGAGCATCAACCTTCAGGGTTAAAGCGTGAATTAGCAGTTCTACATTAACTCCAGAGTTTAAGACTAATAATTGTTAAACTGTGTTGAACGATCAGCAGAGCTTTATTTTACTGTAAAGGAGGATTATTTTATTATTACCTACAAATCTAATTCTGCTGTGGAGCCGCAACAGGGCAGTAAAAGAGCTGCATTCGGCTCCAGGCGCACATGTTGCCGACCCCTGCCTTAGGGAGTGTTCTGATGATGACTTTTTGAACTCATGCTTAAAAAGAGGATACACTGCTTAGGGTGTGGGTTAACACATTTAGCTGAAACAGGTAAATACAAGACTGTAATTTGAGAGAATGTAAAAATCTGAGATGAGCGATAAACATTTAAAAACTAATATATGGCTGCTGTCGGATCAAAACCTTGTATCTCCATTTTTTGTTTTTCAGTTTTTGACAATTTGAAAACGCCTGTTGCTCTTCACACTGTGTGTAAATTTCATGATGAATGAAGGAAGAGAAATGGCCTGAAATTACTTGGAAAAAAGTCTGGTTCCATTGACTTACATTAAAAGTAGAGCATGATTTTTCCCTCTCCTGTAAAGTTACCATTTTGGATATACAAGGTTTTGTTCTGAGAGCAGCGATATATAATAACTAGAAAACACATTTTCACTTTTTCACAGCTCCTGGAGTTCAAAAGCAGCCAAAACTAGCTTTCCTTCTGTGTTGAAGACTAAAGAGAAGGCACCCTCAATATCAACTGGTCAGCTGTGGGTGGCGTATCGTTTTTTCATGGCCACACAGCACAAAAGTTGATAATTTTATATAAGCAAAGCGCACTGTGTAGGCTAGTTGGGATGCTTTTCAGTTGCGGGGCGCTTTGTCCCTTATACAACAATAAAAAGAAACATCTGAATGCCCCCAAGGTGTCATTTAAAGAGACTTAAACACATCAAAGCACTCCAGTCAAAACAAGCTATGTCAGGTTTGTAGGACATTCTTTTACCATCAATTAGCAGTACTTAGGAAGAACGGGTACATTAACCTTTAATACTTTTCATCCCACACTACTTACTAGGACCTGGCACAGTATGCATTCAGAAGGCACTCAAAGGTGTATTAATGAGGATGGTATTTATCAACAATCCATTACATAATTATTCCATAACCTCAGCTCTGCCCTGTTCTTCAAGGGTTTATTAAAGGGCATCAATCAACAGATAACCAACAAAGCAAATACTCCCCTGCAGAAAATACAGTTACTGATGTATATCAGTCTCTCTGTGTCTTATATGGTTGGCAAGTTCAGTTGTGGTTAAGCTGTGCTCTGTCACTTTAGGCGGTCCCACATTATACAGTCTAAACAGAAGGAAAATGACTAATGCTCTTCTCTGTTTACACCCTGGAAATCACCAGATGGAGACCCCACCAGACACCCCACCACAAAGACCTGAACTCACAATTAACCTGTCAGGACTGTTAACATCGTGACTAATAATTACTCACGAGAAACTTTTTTTAAACAACAAATGAATATCACCACAAATGTTTACATTAGATTTAAAGGTCCCATATCGTACACATTTATTTACTTTTATTTATTTAACTTTTGTCCCTAACGTTCACTTTTGACATTTGTGTAGGTTTATGTACCAAAAAATGGGACAATTAATTCGTACATGAACATTTTCCAACCTCTCTTTATCCCTTAGATTTAAACAGGCTGTTAGTGTTGCTGTGTCTTTAAGGCCGACATATGTAAATCAGCTATTTAGATTGGTTCTGTACTGTGCCTCACTTGAAAAGCAACCCAGTCTGAAACACTCCAAATAACTTCAGCATGAATGGGAGGGGCTAAATAGGTGAATTTATCTAAGGCTACGTTCACACAGCAGGTAAAAGTGGCCCAAATCTGATTTTCTCACCAAATCCGATTTTTTTGTTTGGCTGTTCTAAACTGACCCACATGCGTAAGAGAACAATGCTTCACGGCTCATCCAACGGTAAACAGTCACGACTGCCAACGAACGCCAGTCGCTCCCGGAGGATCAGCTTCATCTTCACCAGCATCACAGGAGCCATCATGAAGCTTCACTGACTGACAGCTGGGCTCATCACCCAGAATGTGTTGGAGCCGTAAAAAGGGCGCGGTCACTTCTTTGGTTCGCGGCCTTGGATTCTTTAAACTTTGCTTTCAGACTTTTAACTGTTCTTTGACGCTGCAGCCTCGTTCTCCTGCGGCCGCGTTCTGACCTTTCTTTCGAAATCTCTTCAAACACCAGATGTTTCTGGTACAGAAACATCAGCCTAATTGTTTGAGTCTCAGTAGCACGAAATGATGACGAATGTCAGCTAGATTGACGTAAACAAGGCATGAATTCCGATCTGGCTGTTCAGACTGAGTCGCACTGCTGCAAATCATTAAAAATAGCTTATATTAAAAAGGCCCATATGCTACCTTTATCTTGTGTGTTTTTTTTAAATAATATATTTTTTAAATAATATATATGAAAGCGTCTCAAATCAGAAACGGAAACGTCAGATTTAATGTGTTTTTGCTGTTGATACTGACACTCAGACACACATCTGTGTCACATATGAGGAAAAAGATCAGATTTGGGCCACTTTTACCTGCTGTGTGAACAAAGCCTAAATGAGCTGGTTGTCATGACACCACAAAAACAATGAACTCCAAACGAGACACTTTGGCAGCTTACTTTACAAATATCAACTGCCTGGACTAAGGAGCGAATGGTATGTTCTGAACGTCCGACAGTGTGTACATACTTGGGATGTGCACAAGTACTCAAGCACTCTGTAAACTGTTTGAGGCGCCAGTATCCAAATACTGAATCACTATCTAGGTACTCTTTATGATTCATCACAGGAACACTGTGAAATTACACAGATTAACCAAACGATAATTGTATATTTTAACAGGTACAGTTTTACTATTTGTGAGTTTGTATATGACACTGTGCTGCTCTGAAACATGAGCGCCTGAATGACTGCGTTTCCACTGACGTCATGATCATCGTTAAAGACATGACTGAGACGGCAGATGTAGCACAGATTTTCTAACTAGCCTAACTACTCTAGCAAAGCCCAGAATTAGTGGAAATATAATTCCCTGACAAACTAACACGTTGGCACCTTGTTTACTGCATAGAAAATAGTGTGTGTTCTCATCAACATCTAGTGTTGAACCATTTAGCTGTAGTTTTAGCTCTTATCACAAAGGCAGCCTCCATTACTAATCCATCACACAAAAGCTACTAATTTCCTGCTGCTTTTTAGACTAATAAAACATGTTTTTTAATATATTAATTATATTTAATTATTTAATTATTATTTAATAATTAATTATTTGTAAACAAACACACACACACACACGCACACACACATATATCTTGCTGCTGTCGGAAGAAAACCTCCAAAACAGTAACTTTACAGGAGAAGGAAAAAACATACTTTACTTTTAATAGAAGTCAATGGAACCAGACTTTTTTCCAAGTAATTTTGGGTCATTTCTTTTGGTCAATTCATCATAAAATTTACACACAATGTGAAGGACAACAAGCATTTTAAAATGATGTCAAAAACTGAAAAATGATGTCATCTTCTGACAGCGGCAATATATATACACACACATATACATACATACATACATACATACATACATATATCTTTAGTGTCTTAAAAAAGATGGTTCTTCAAGGGCTCTTTAGTAAAGATAATGGTTCTATACAGCATCAAAAAGGGTTCTTCTATTATTATGATGTCAAACTTCTGTTTAAACAAAGTAAGGAAAATTAGGTTTTACATGATACGGGCTCTTTCGTTCTGGAAATTACAAAAAAAACATATGTAAACTGTCAGTATTCATTATAGATTCCACCAAACTCTTAATGCCCACATAAATGAAGACCACACAAACCTCACTAACAAACAAAAAGCCACAAAAAAACCCTTTTAACAAGGAACAAATTCTAAGAAAGTACTGAAACTACAACACTACTTAAAGTAAATAAGGAGCAGGATCTTTAGCTGAAGTAAGCAGCGGCTTTGAGGGAAGAATTTACCGTATTGTGTGTGTTTTTGGCTTAGTTGTGTGTAATGAAGGAGCTTTTCTGCTGTAAAGGACCGAGTCAAGTGCCTTGACTATGGGTCCGAATGCTAAGTGACTTACAAAGAAAGAATGTGACTAATCACATCAGGTTCTTAATAAACAACAGATTGAGACCTACTGGGTTGCAGCATTCTTGCTCATTTTTTCTCACACTCACAGCTCAGTGCTGAACAACCCACTTCCCGTCTGAAAAAAATACTGAAAGGGTCACTCAAACAAAGTGACACCTTTCAAGCTAGCTACCCCGTGTCTGAAACCATTCGGGCTTCTTATGTCTGAGACAGTAGTGCAGCTAAAATTTGGAGTCATTTCAACAATGTTATTATATTAAGTAATATCTTACAGTGTAGACTGAAATAATATAAGCTAAACAAGACGCTTTATCCAATATTTCAAGTTTCTGAACATCAAAAAGCTATTAAATAATAAATTACACACTGTAACTAATTATTTATAGTACTTCCTTGATAAGTTATCTGCCTTAGATTTTCAAATATGAGCTATTCTAGATGTTATCTTTATCATAACTTCTTTCTCAGTGATATACATCTTTCTTAGTCAGCATGGAAACATCTTCAGCTCAGTTTCAGTTAATTATCAGTTTCCTAATAATTAGATGAAATCTGTCAAGTTGTAGAGCAGCATCACAACAGAATTTTATACATGTTTATGTATGTATCAACAGATATGTACATAACAAAACATCATATATAGGCAATGACCCACTATTTTCATATAGGTGTGTCCCGAATGACAGCCTAGTTTTAGATGCCCATCTAAAGTGAAGTGTTTTAATTACAAATAACTACAATTACAAAGCCCATATGCTACCTTTATATTGTATTTTTTAATAACTTATTTTTTTATAACCATGTGTGTGTTTATGTACCAGAAATGGTAATAATTCTGTTTTACAAGACCATTTTCTTTATCTTTTTCCTTTTATTTTCTTTATCCCTTTAGAATTAAACCAGTAGTTTTTGTTACTGTGCCTTTAAGATTCATAAGATAAATAAGCGCTGTCCTGTATTGAGCCTCTGAGCTGAAATACTTCATATAACGGAGTAGTGAATATTATGTTTTAAAACTTTAACAAATGTTCCCATATTATATCTCTCTCTTTATTTATTAAAAACAAAAAACAGTGAGCGAAATTCAGTTTTCCATCATTAGAGCAAATTAAGGCTTAGAAGTTTTTAAACTAGAGATCTCAGTCCTGCTACTGGTATCACTCGATACTGAACGTTTCAAAATCAGTATTGGAAAAAAATTTAATATCATTCATGTCACATAACATCATTTCTAAATCTAACTGTTGTCTAATTCTGCAGGCCTGCACCAAAAAATTAATAAATAAACTATAATTATACACCGATCAGGCATAACATTATGACCATTATGACCTTGTTTCTACAATCATTGTCCATTTTATCAGCTCCACTTACTATATAGGTGCACTTTGTAGTTCTACAGTTTGAGTGGATCAGACACAGCAGTGCTGCTGGAGTTTTCAAACTCTGTGTCCACTCACTGTCCACTCTATTAGACCCTCCTACCTTGTCAGTCCACCTTGTAGATGTAAAGTCAGAGACGATAGCTCATCTGCTGCTGCACAGTTTGTGTTGGTCATCCTCTAGTCCTTCATCAGTGGTCACAGGACGCTGCCCACAGGACGCTGTTGGCTGGATATTTTTGGTTGGTGGACTATTCTCAGTCCAGCAGTGACACTGAGGTGTTTAAAAACTCCAGCAGCACTGCTGTGTCTGATCCACTCAGACCAGCACAACACACACTAATGGGGTGGTCCATGGGGTCCTGACCACTGAAGAACAGGGTAAAAGGGGGCTAACAAAGTATGCAGAGAAACAGATGGACTACAGTCTGTAACTGTAGAACTACAATTAACAAGGAGGTGGTCAGAATGTTATGCCTGATCGATGTATATTATACTCAAAATAATCTATAATTACACCTTCATTTAAATGTTTTACCCAAATGTCTGAGAAGCTAACTCAATCCTTAAAAGTACTGCATTCAGTAGAAGATGCACTGTGTCTTAAAGTAAAGCTCAGAAAGAGAGAGAAAGAGAGAGAGAGAGAATTGTGTTCCACACAGGGCTGGATGCAGGCCATGCAACACGGCATTCTCACAGCGTAGAGCTCCTGTACTTACTCCCTCGACTTTGCATCACTGCACAGCCACACAGGAGACAAATTCGTATGTTAGTTAAGCGTCACAAACCCACGTTGCGATTTATAACACAAGGGAACTTCAGCCTGGTTTCAGGTCAGCATATGACAGCAAGTTCCCCTGGGGCTCTTTGAGTAATCGTGCTTATTATCTTGTACTTGAAGAACTAACAATATTTCGTCGCACAGTGTAGCTGTGTGACCAGGTTAGCAGCTTTTCTGAAGAATTAATACAACATTCTTTGATAGAATAGAGCTTTATGAGATACAGTGAGATAATTCAGTATATGAACTGGTCAAAGTGTGACTGTGTGCGTGTGTCTGAAAGCATGTGTGAAAAGAATTCTGCGTGGGTGGAAAAGGGTGGCTGAGGTGAAATTTTCCACAAAACTTTCTGACAGTGAGATTTTTTTTAAAAGACAAGATGTTTAAAGACACAAAAGGCACATCACATACATTTCAGACAGACTGCTACAGTCTAGGTCAGACTAAAACATGAGAAAATAACACAATCATGTGACTGACACCGAAGAAGGGATTTCTACGGAAGGAACTGGCTGACGAGAGAGACGAAGTGTGTAAGAGAGAGAGAAAAAGAGAGAGAGAGAGAGTTAAAGTGAGACAGATACTCACTGTAGCCCATTCCCTGGACAAAGTACTTGAAGGCCTCAGCAAGTTTACCAGGCTGAAAAGAGAAGTGTGCAATTATGGAATATAATTATGCTAACCACATTAACTTTAAAGTGCCAGGGAACACGGTGTACATTGTTTAATTTCATTGTATGATGCTAAAATTGAGTGTTACATCAAATATCCAGCAAAGTTTGAACAACAACAACAAAAAAAAACAAGATAGCAGGCTAAAAGCTGTTGTTGCAGACCCCTCCATTACTACGGCAAAAAACATTACTCACAAAAAACATTATCTAGCTTTTACAACCCCATTTCCAACAAAAGCTGGGACGCTGTGCAGAATGTAAATAAAAATAGGATGCAATGATATGCAAATCATGTAAACCATATTTTTAAAGAATAAAAAATACTACAAAGACAACATATCAAATGTTGAAATTGAGAAATTTTATAGTTTTTTTGAAAAATATATGTCCGTTTTGAATTTGATGCCAACAACACGTTCCAAAAAAGTTGGGACGGGGGCCTGTTTACCACTGTGTTTCATCACCTCTTCTTTTAACAACACTCTGTAAGCGATTGGGAACTGAGGAGACACTGCTGTAGTTTTGAAAGTGAAATGTTTTTACATTCTGGTTTGATACAGGATTTCAGCTGCTCAACAGTTCAGGGTCTCCTTTGCCATATTTTCATTTCAAAATGTGGCAGGTTTTTTCAGTGAGTGACAGGTCTGGACTGCAGGCAGGTCAGTTTAGCACTCTGACTCTTAATATGGAACGGACACTTTTACACTTCCCTTCAGTGCATTTTAAATGACCTCGGGCCCAGAGAAGGTGGCAGCATTTCTGGATCCTGTTTATATTTGGTTTCTTCTTTGCATTTTAGAGTTTTAACTTGCATTTTTGGATGCAGCGACGAACTGTTTTCACAGACAGTGTTTTTCAGAAGTGTTTCTGAGCCCATGCAGTGACTTTCTCTACAGAATCATGTCTGTTTTTAATGCAGTGCTGCCCGAGGGCCCAAAGATCACATCCAGCAAATACTGGTTTTTGGCCTTGTCTCTTGCATACAGAGGTTTTTGATATTATGTACTGTAGATGATGAAAAGAAAAAGTTGCTATTTTACATTGAGAAATGTTATTCTTGAATTGTTGCACTATTTGATCGTGCAGTCTTTCACAGAGTGGTGAACCCCTCCTCATCTTTACTTCTGAAAGACTCCGCCTCTCTGAGATGCTCTATTTATACCCAATCATGTTACTGACCTGTTGCCAATCAATCTCCAGGTGTTTTTTAACATTACACCACTTTATCAGCCTTTTGTTGCCCTGTCCCAACTTTTTGGGACGTGTTGTTGGCATCAAATTCAAAATGGGCAAATATTTGAAAAATGAAAAATTCTCAGTTTGATATCAACATTTGATATGTTGTCTTTGTAGTATTTTCCTTTAAAAATATGGTTTACATGATTTGCATATCATTGCATTCTATTTTTATTTACCCTTTGCACAGCGTTTTTTGGAAACGGGGTTGTATTTGTTTATTTAAAGCCCTGGGGAACCTACATGTTTTTCTTTCCAAGTGGGTTAATCTTGCTCTTGTGTGGACACAGTATACATGTACAAAGTATGTCTTGTGAATGACTTTCCAATGACCAGTGGGCTGTCCCACCCACATAGCTTAAATAAAACTGTGTTACCCCAACAATCTCCTTCTCTGGCCGGCCACTCCAGCATTGCTTGGATGTCCCTTCAGCAGTAAAATGAAAAAGAACCATGCCTTCTTGTTATGTTACTACGACCCGATTTCCAAAAAACTTGGGACGCTGTACAAAATGTAAATAAAAACAAAATGCAATGATATGCAAAACCCTATATTTCATTGAAAATAGTACAAATATAACATATGAATATGTTATTTATTAAAATAAAATTTTATTGTTTTTTGAAAAATTTTACATTTGATGCCAACAACACGTTCCAGGCTGAGTCTTTCAGAAGTAAAGATGAGGAGGGGTTCACCACTCTGTGAAAGACTGCATGATCAAATAGTGCAACAATTCAAGAATAATGTTTCTCAACATAAAATAGCAAAGAACTTTTTCTTTTCATCATCTACAGTACATAATATCATTAAAAGAGTCAGAGAATCTGGAAAAATCTCTGTATGTAAGCGACAAGGCCAAAAACCAGTATTTGCCGGCCGTGATCTTTGGGCCCTCAGGCGGCACTGCATTAAAAACAGACGTGATTCTGTAGTGGAAACCACTGCACTTCTGAGAAACACTGTCTGTGAAAACAGTTCGTCGCTTCATCCACAAATGCAAGTTAAACTCTAAAACGCAAAGAAGAAACCATATCTAAACATGATCCAGAAATGCTGCCACCTTCTCTGGGCCCAAGGTCATTTAAAATAAACTGAGGGGAAGTGGAAAAGTGTCCTGTGATCTGACGAATCAGCACTTGAATTTTTTTTGAGTCCTCTAGGCTAAAGACCACTCAGCTTGTTATCAGTGCATAGTTCAAAAGCCAGTATTCATGATGGTATAGTGGTGCGTTAGTGCACACGGCATGGGTGACGTGCACATCTGTGAATGCACCATTAATGCTGAACGATATACACAGGCTTATGGCATATATTTGAAAAAAACAATAGCATTTCTCAGTTTCAACATTTGATGTTGCCTTTGTACTATTTTCCTTTAAAAATATGGTTTACATGATTTGCATATCAATGCATTCTATTTTTATTTTCATTCTGCATAGCATCCCAACTTTTTCGGAAATGAGTTTGTAAATAAATTAAAGTAATGGAGTTCAGAAATTACAGTAGATTTGATAAACTCATCTACAGGACGCCATACTCTCCCAAAACTCTACTGATTCTCAAATATCAGTTTTACAGTGTAGCTTACTTGAACAACTTGAGGTAGACCTCCACAATCTGCCATCTGAAAGAATAATCAAAATCAAAATGTAAAACCATCCATGTCTTACAATGAGAGCACCACTAGAAAGCATTTTGCCAGCAGATTATGTTCTCTTGCCTTGAGCAGGGTAGTCTTTGTGGGGTTTAGCCTTGAGTTGCACTCAACCTGAGAGAAGAGACAAGATCAGGTTCCATTAAGTCAGTTCAGAGAGCGACAACACAGAGACATACAAGGCACAGTTTCAACTGAAGACCTTTAAAGCACAAGCTGTTCTGGCCTAGAAAGCAGCCTGATACATTTTAGCTACTTCAGATAAACAGAACAACTCCTCAGAATAAAGGGTTTTCTGAAGGTGAGCCACAAAAACACAAGTTCAAAACGTGAGTTTCTTCAATGAAAGGCATAGTGATATTAGCATCATATTGGCAGATTATTCAGTCCGTATACATGCACTCAATAATCCGATCATAATCGGATTTCTGCAGTTATTCCATTATTCAAATGGTCATGTAAACACCATACATAATCTACAAATCTGATTAAGAAATGCAATAAAGGGGCTGGATTTTAGCTAAGTAATCAGATTCCTCAGTGCATGTAAACTCTGATTTCTATCGGATTTCTCACATGCACGAGATCAGGCGGTGGATGTTGTGAGATGCAGCAAAACACTTTTGGACCGGCGCTGAAACCAAACACGAAATAAAGGATTCGAATATTGTTAATCTTCCAGATGATGTAAGTTCATATTTTCAGGTAAAGAGGCGCAGTATTTAAAAAAAAAAAGCTGTGGTATGAAGTTTGAGTTTTACATTACATTTACGTCACGTCGTCTTCTGTGAGTCTATTGGCTGGTTGCAAAGCAGAAATCTAATTACTGTCTGACTCATGTAGACCCAGAGTTTCCCCATTGTTCTGATTACTCAAGAGCATGTAAATGTTACTGACAAAATCTGATTTTCTGCAGTTATCGGATTATTAAGCGCAGGTAAACACACTCATTGTTAACAAAACAATTCTTAGTGGCATTGGACAGAAGATCTGACTAACATATAACAATGCACTGAACAGCATAATGTCTACACAATGCGGCAATATAACATAAAAACTCAAAAAAGGTTCATCAAATTTATCAAATTAATATCATCTGGTACCGTAATACTGATATATCAGAAAATGTCATGATACTAAATTTTATCAGAACTACCAGGACTAATTTAACTCGCAGACATCTCGGCTATTGACAGGAAAAAAGATCTACATTACTTAAATATTAAAACATGACATGAAATTGAAATTTACCCGATCTATGTTAATCTGCACCAGGTTAAAGGAACAGTTTGGAGAAAAATCAACTTAACACGATTTATCACTTACCCAGATTTTTGGCAAAACTATTCCTATAAACACTCCAAATTCAGAGAACAAATCTGTGAATTTGCTCACTACATCAACTTTGGATAAATTCAGAGCCTACATATTTTGTTTTGCCTCCTCCATCTTCCCATGTTCTCACATGTAAACATGTCCATCAGTTTCCTTTGTTAAGAGTGGTCAGGCATCTCATTAGAACACATAACACAGCCACACCATGCATTCACATCAAAGGCTACGTTCATATTACAAACCTCAAATCTGATCTTTTGCTCAAATCCGATCTCTGACACGATGGTTCACACTCGTTTAGGTAAGTGATTCAAATCTGTCATTAATGTGACGAACCGGCGTCCTGAAATGACCCTCATGAGCTCATCCTACACAGTAACGTCACGTGAATGAATCACGTGCATCATCAGCACAAACTAACGAGCAGAACGAGCTTCGCTGAGAAGATAATTAACTCTGATCAGCTTCATTATTAGAGCGAGACGAAGGAGAAAAGGTGAGATGAGCTGCTTTTCCACCGTTTACAGGCTTTAACTTCTGTTTGGCGCCGCTGCCATGGTAACGCTGAATGATGGAGCAGCGCAGTGGAGAAAAACACATGAATTCTGATCTGAGCGTCACATTAAGGTCACATGGCCACAAATCAGATACGTATCCGATCTAGGACCACATATCAAAGTGGCTCAGGTCGGATTTGAAAAGATCAGATTTGTGTCCACACAGCTCTGAAAACATCAGATCTGAGTCACTTTTGTGCCACTTCAACCTGGTAATGTGAACGTAGCCATGGTGATTAGGCTGACATCGTTCCCCATTTCACTACTTTCAGGTACGTATGATACTAAATCCAGTGAGTTCCCCATAACAAAGAAATATTTCTCTAGCCAGAAGTTGAGTAAGCTAACACAGGGTCTGTTTGGACTGGATTAATCTTACATAGGAGGAAGGACGATAAATAGCAGCAGCAATGTGTCTTCCTCGCTCAGGTGGCTTGTTAATTCACTTCCCCACAGTTTGCAATGCAAATGTCCTGAATGTTGTCCCTTGGCTAACAGACTCACTCTAGTAAAATGTGATTAGAACTGCATAGGGGAAAAATCCAGGAAATTTTTCCAGCAATTATTGTTTTCTATGATTTCTCCAGGCCTGGAAAAACAAACTGCTATATTTAAGCAATGTATATATTAGCACTGACATTAGCATCAACATATCTGTATGTGGAAAATATCAGATATTGCCATCAGCCCAGAATTCCCATGTTGGTGCATCCCTAGTTTCAACGTCATCACTCACCACTGCTTCCACAGCTGGGGATGTGTCACCTACTATGAGCAGCACGGGACACCTAAACAGACAAAAAGAAACAAACAGAGCCAATGATAAGAAGGTCCACACATGGGTCAATGACAAACTGTCATATTTCAATATCACGGTTAAATACTGTGATTAAAATATGCGTTTCCATGAATTTAATCCCCTTAAATGTCTTAAGACTTATCATCAGGCAAGAATGAATTATTAGGTAACTACTATGAATCTAATATACAGGTTAAGAAGTTATGAGACACAGATATCGTAAGATGATTGTAAGCGTGAGCAACATGCCGAGCCTGGCAGCTTAAGGGGTTAAACCTAAAGAACCTAAAGTCTAGTGTTATCTGGACAAAAAATAGTATTATTTGTTGCATAACATTTTGTTGTATAACAGATGAATGGCAAAAAATCTGGTTTCAACACAATCAATTAGTGTCTTTAGTCCCTAAACAATTACTAAGGGTTGGTTAAAAAAAATAAAACACATAAAAATTAAAAATTAGGTGAACATGCTCCTGTCCCAACTTCTGCACAAAGTTAGAATGAGTGTGTATTTACAAAAAACAGTGAAGTTTATAAGGTAAATATTGTGGTTTTGTAACATTTTCAATTTAATACAGGTCAAACAGAACTTACTAATCACTGCTTTCTGTTTTTATTGGCTTTTCACATACTGTCCCAACATTTTTGAAACCGGGTTTGTAAAACAGTAATTTGCTGAGTGCTCATTTGCACATCATGGCTTTCTACAAAACTGTACTGCGATAGTGAAAACACACACATACTTCAGGGTGTTGACTGTGTCCTCATTAATCCCTGGAATGGGTCTCTCGATCTCCAGGTCTTGACGGCTGTTGAGAGAGAAAAAGCCTGAGTATCTACTCATCTACTCGACTGACTCCATAGTCAATGTAGATGTCAGAGAGCAGACCTTGTGACCTTGTACCATACCTGTTGTAAGAGTTCCAGAAGAGCGCCAGGTTGTCCTGATTAATGTCCTGAGCGATGTGTAGACGGTACGTCTGAATGATCTCCTGGTTCTCCGCAAGCTCATCCTAGGACAAAACAATCGCCACTTGACTTTGATACCCTGACTTTAATGCTAATTTCTGAATGCTTGAAATTTTTTTCATAACTTCGTTTACATTACAGATCAAAAGTGGGTGTTGCCTACTCTGATGTTAATAACATGCATACAGAATGTAATTTAGACCAGTGGTGCTCAAACCTGTCCTCAAAGACCCCCACATGACCTAGATTTTTGCCCTATCCCTATGTGTTGCCAGTAAGGTCGGAGCAAAAATCTCACTGTTCGAGGGTCCCTGAGGACCAGTTTAAGAACCATTATTTAAACAACCAATCAGCAAATCAGCAGTTTAGATTTTGGAACAAGTGTGCTTATAGACTCACTGAGGCAGATAAGACCAACTACTTAGTCATTGAAATTTGGTATTGAATGAATTTTTCAGTTTATATACACACACGGTTGTATATATATATATATATATATATATATATATATATATATATATATATATATATATATATATATATGGAACCAACCATAAAAAAACTCACTTTACTTGGACTGAGTGTAACAGCTTGGCACCTTGGATGGTTCTTTCACAACAGAGAGGTGTTCAAGGTGTTCAAGGCTAGAGTGTAGTAAGACTTACCGTGCTGAAATGATGCCCCATCACAATGTCCACCAGGTTGCTAGTCCATCCAGATAACTAAAACATACAAAACACACACACAAACACACACACACACACACACACACACACACACACACACACACACACACACACACACACACAGAGAAAACAAAAAGTAGCAGAATGAGATGATTTAAACTGCCCTACCACACACAGGAATTCAAAGTATTTATAATGAATATACTTTTATACTCATCAGCCACTTCATTAAGCACACCTCTTTGTATCATCACATTGTCCTTTTTTAATCAGCTCCATTTTTGAACGATTTTGGCAAAACATCTTATTGAGATTTTTTTTTTACAGTATTGCGATTTCAATTTCAATTGCGATTGTTTTCTGTAAACTGAGGAACGGGCATTTTTTGTGGCTTAGAAGACCAGCGTGTACTTCGTGGTCGTGATGTCACACTTTGGTTGCTTCTGATTAGTCAAATTTATTTAAAAGCAGTTCACAAGCTCAATGTAATTATGTAAAACATGCAATGTATCCATGTTGACTATAATAAAAATTGTACATCCTGCTATTTAAAAACTGTACTATTTCAAACTGTGATTTCAATAAAAAACGATTCATCTTTCAGCCCTCGTACCAGGCATGGCATTTCGGTCCCTTTCACAACAAACCTGTAAACTTTTATCATTTGTAATGTGCAACACCTCACCCGTAACTAAAAATTCAAGACATTCTATAGACGACTTGCCAAACTGAATTTGTAAAGCAGACACATGACAGTCATGAGATGCACTTTACCTTTGAGGCAGCCCAGTCCATCCAGCCTTTTGCACAGGGGTCCACATTGATAAGAACCAGTCCTTCCACCAGGTCGGGCTGATTCAGCTGGAAGAGAGCAACAAAGAGGAGTCCTATTGCAATCTACTGTCTGACAGGACAATACATCGCTGTCTTGAGTTGAGAGTGCAGAAATGGGCGTGAAGGACATTGCAGGATTTTCAAGGACAATCGCTGCATTCCAAAGTCTAGGCTGTATTTCTCGGCCGCTATGTCATAACCGGCCATTCCAAGGTGAAGGACCCTTCATATACAGCCTAGAAATGCAATCTATGTACGGAGTGATTTCAAGGACGCATCAGATGCATCTTTCCACCCTTCGGTTACCCTCTGCGCATGAACGATGCGAGGAAACAAAGCCATTGGAGCAGAGCTTGTTTTAAAATGTAAGTTGATTCATTAAAGCATTCTTCCATATATTATATATCATCCATATATCGTATTTTATTTAGAAGTATTTGTATATGTGGTTGGTATGGTGTAGAAGGTAAAACCTCTGCCTTCTACACTGTAGATTGGGGTTCAATCCCCAGCTGGGTGAGCACCCTACACTATACCAATAAGAGTCCTTGGGCAAGACTCCTAACACTACTATTGCCTACTTGTGCAAAATGATCAAAGTGTAAGTCACTCTGGATAAGAGCGTCTGCAAAATGCCATAAATGTAAATGTATATATGTAGTTTATCGTAATACATAAGAACATCTCCTCCATTTCCGTGAAGAACTGAAAAAGCAACAAACTCAATGAAACTGGCTCCATTTTCTCTCACGAGTTTGGCGCCGCTCTGGTGGCGTCACCACGCAGCCTCGTTAGGACTGATCCATTAGTGTGACCAATAGGCTACTAAGGAGGAGTCTTCATAGGACAGTCCTACCGAGGACCCGCACTACCTCGGCTGCAGCCCAGCTAAAAAGTCTGCACCACAAAGAAAAATTGACGCCGATGACACCAACATAAAACAGCGTCCATCTGCTGTGCTCCCATATCGTTGCCCTCCTCAGTGAATACACTGTAAATCTGAACGCTGAGGTTTCCAACACTTTTCTGTAACATTTTTTAAACGTCACAATGTGCAGCTGAGCCGTTCTTCTATCTGAGGAGAAACTGAGAAAAGCCTGTTTGCAACACTGAATGACTGCCAGTGTTTAAAATTCCAGTCTCGGGGACCCGAAGCTAAGCACAATTGTTGCACAACTGATTCAACAAAGTGTCTAATTAACAAGCTCCTCGTGTGCTGGGTCAGGTTTAAAACCTAAACACCAGACAATTATTACTGAAACCTTCTTATATTGATGTTAGTCAATACCATTAATCTCAATAATCTCTGGGATGGGTCTCTCGATCTCTCGGTCTCTGGGGCTGTTAAAAGGAAATCCCACTTTTTTTACACAAAATCTGTATAATTGAATGATTAAGAAGTAAATAAAGTCATTCAGAGTGGTTTGATGTGAAATGCTCCAGTTCTGGAAAACTTTGAGACCTATTCACAGTGGTGGTGATTCACAGTGGAGCCAGATGTCTGAAGAGTTTAATGCCTCTTAAAGCTCCCTGGCAAAGTTATTAAACAAAACGGTAACAAATATGTTGCCTGATGCCTAAGACACTGTTTTACCTTTAGATATACATACGTAGATGCCGCGTTGGGTCCAGCTTATTTCATTTAATAGTCTATTCAGGGGGTCTTAACTTTATGTAGTAGTATTTATTTACAGTGACGGTTAAAGCTTTGTAGCTCGGTAAGTTACAGCATTCCTTAATCCGTGTAGATATTCATAATAGATTAACGTTAGAACCTTCTTACACAAAGCTAAAGTCAGATTCTCATTTGCCAGCTTTTTGTTGGAATTTTCCCGTTCCACCTTAAATGGTGCAGCTTCAGGCACCAGAAAGTGACTGCTGCACCATTTAAGGTGGAACGGGAAAACTCGAACAAGAGGCTGGCGAGTAGGAAGCCAATTTTAGCTTCTTCCTTCTTACTGTGTTTTGTGGGTTTATTTTATTTCTATGTGTATTAAGATCAGAAGTGATTCACACATTGATGGATTTGCTGATGGGTCTGATTGTGTTTCTCGCGCTAAACTCGGTTTTTAACGTCAGGTGCAGACTGAATACTTTCCTGCTGGTCCAGACGGCTAATTAATAAAGAAATAAAAGCTGCTGAGAGCAGCCCGTGCAGCCTAGATTAACCTGAGTCTGAGGATTATAACAAAACAAATTTGGTGAAAATTGGTTGAGTAATAAGGAAGGTGTGGCTGATTTAATCCTGAGACTCATCGACTCTCAATACAAGTGAATTTGTTCACAAGTGGATCTTGACCTCTCCAACATGGCGGACGCGCAGACATATTGCCTCAGATAGAGAACAACAGACAATGCGGCATCTAGGTATGTGTATCTATGGTTTACCCCAATTTTGACATAAGCTTTTGGGCTAAAATGTGTATGTTCTGGGTGTAAACAGCACCCAAATACATTTTTTTCAGATTTACCACTATTTTACCATCATCAATATTACATATAAAAACTCAGAAGACACATGTAGGATCAAGGGTTGTTTTGGAAACTAAATAAAATGGATATATTTACGTTTTAGAAATAGTGACCACTGGTTCCTATCAGCACCACTGTAAAGAAATCAAGACTTGGTAAGTTTCTCTACAATAAACCATTTTACATCAAAACAATCGGAATGACTTTACAACCCAATCACTGAATTACGCAGAAATTATGAGAAATTAGGGGAATTCCCCTTTAAGGCAGTCAGGCTTTCCACACTATACACTGTGACATGTTTAAAAATGTTACAGGACAGTGTTTAAACCTAATCATTTACATTTACAGTGTTTTCAACCATGTACTCAGAGTATGTAGTAGAGAGGTGCTCATCTTGTGTGGGAAAGTTCCCGTTAGTGCAGGTTAACCTTAACAACCCACTCAAATGCCTTCAGCATGCACTGCGAGTCTTAACACCTTTACCTAATTCACACCACTGAAGCATCGGTAGCCCTGCTTTCACAGAGCAGTTCACAGGTTTGGTTTTTAACACGAATTTGAGCTCTGTGACCGACACACACATGACATCAGACATAAAACCTGCTCAGAATGGCAGCAAGTAAAAGCTGAAAACTATAATGGATACACTGATCAGGTATAACATTATGACCACCTCCTTGTTTCTACGCTCATTGTCCATTTATAGGTGCACTTCGTAGTTCAGCAGGTACTATATGGGTGGTGGATCATTCTCAGCACTGCAGCAACACTGACGTGGTGGTGGTGTGTTAGTGTGTGTTGCGCTGGTCTGAGTGGATCAGACACAGCAGTGCTGCTGGAGTTTTTAAACACCTCAGTGTCACTGCTGGACTGGGAATAGTCCACCAACCAAAAATATCCAGCCAACAGCGTCCTGTGACCACTGATGAAGGACTAGAGGATGACCAACACAAACTGTGCAGCAGCAGATGAGCTATCGTCTCTGACTTTACATCTACAAGGTGGACTGACAAGGTAGGAGTGTCTAATAGAGTGGACAGTGAGTGGACACAGTGTTTATAAACTCCAGCACAGCACACACTAACACACCACCACCACGTCAGTGTTACTGCAGTGCTGAGAATGATCCACCACCCAAATAGTACCTGCTCTGTGAGGGTCCATGGGGGTCCTGACCACTGAAGAACAGGGTAAAAGCGGGCTAACAAAGTATGCAGAGAAACAGATGGACTACAGTCTGTAACTGTAGAACTACAAAGTGCACCTATATAGTAAGTGGAGCTGATAAAATGGACAATGAGCGTGAAGAACTGAAAAAGCAACAAACTCAATGAAACTGGTTCCATTTTCTCTCACGAGTTTGGCGCCGCTCTGGTGGCGTCACCACGCAGCCTCGTTAGGACTGATCCATTAGTGTGACCAATAGGCTACTAAGGAGGAGTCTTCATAGGACAGTCCTACCGAGGACCCGCACTACCTCGGCTGCAGCCCAGCTAAAAAGTCTGCACCACAAAGAAAAATTGACGCTGATGACACCAACATAAAACAGCGTCCATCTGCTGTGCTCCCATATCGTTGCCCTCCTCAGTGAATACACTGTAAATCTGAACGCTGAGGTTTCCAACACTTTTCTGTAACTACAAAGTGCACCTATATAGTAAGTGGAGCTGATAAAATGGACAATGAGCGTAGAAACAAGGATAATGTTATGCCTGATCAGTGTGTACGTATGGAAAGAGACACAGAGATGGAAAACAAGAGACAGAGCATGCATAATCGACAACATAGTGTACTTTACTGTATTCAACACCTCCACAGTGCGTGAATGTGCAGCACTATAATTAACACATCTTTGCATAATTCCATCCCCCTGATACAAGCTCATATAACACCCTGGCACTATCAGATGTTCTTGTTTCACAAAAGCATAAAATACATTACAAGTGCCTATATATCAGTACATACAAAGAGAAAAAATAGTGCAAGCCACTGTCTTTGGTCTGGAGCCAGTATTAAAATACCAGTAAAAAAAAAAAAAAATCACTCAGTGCAATGCAGAGCCGGCATTCTTCAGCTAATCTGAGCAAATCCTCTTTATCTCCACACAGACTAATGATCTTCAGCTGGAAACATGAGAGGTAAAGTGATAAAGACTGAAGTATTTAATAAACGAGTGCCGTCTGTGGCTTCATCTGAAAGCAAAGAAGTGTGAATGTAACTGTGTTATGTATGTGTATAGGCAAGTGTGACAGAGTGTGTATGTATGTGTGCCCAAACTGAGATTAAGCCAAACAGCTAGAGCAGAATGGGTTTTGGGATTTAGCCCTTATTGCAGACTGTGGACAGCATGTATAGCAGCAGAAGGATTCCAATAATCACTGTAACCTCAAATAACCTCCACATGCTCCGCTCTTAACTTGTATTTTCTGATGAGTGGTATGCATTTGTCTCCACTCAGCGGTCGGTAACACTACAAAAACCCCCCTGGTGAATTAACCCTTGTGTGGTGTTGATGTGTTTGTTGCTCAGTGGTCTGATGGATCCACTGCATTATTGTTGTTTTAAATCAATAAAGCCATAACAATTTATGTAAAAATACCAGATGTTTAAAATATCACAAGTGTCCAGCGTAGGGTTCTCCTTTAGCAGCTGTAGCCAGTCAGCAGCCTGTACATGTTGTCCACCCTCACACACTACACTAACAGCAGGCCATGTAGGAGGAGAACAGAGTGAAGGACACAGCACCTCCACACTTTTATTCCCCGTGGGTTCACCCAACACCACATGTGTAATATAAATGTGTGGGGGGTGAACAGAGTGAAGACACTGAAAATGGGTTATTTTATATGTTCTTCACAGAAAATGAGCAAAGGCCAAGAATCTGAGGTTGAAATAATAATAAATCGCATCATTTTTTCTTTTGGTAAACACTGAAAATGGGTCCCACAGACCTGAACACCACACAGGGGTTAAAAGAGTTCACTTACTGCCAGTCTGGAGAGGATGTAGGCTCCTGCACCCACACCAATGCCAATAACACTGTTGATCCTATGGAAAGTGAAATAGACACAATCAATTACACAATCCAGCAGTCACAGATACATTTCTACATTTCTTTTTCATTTATTATCTTACATCTATTTGGTTTATTTCATTCATTTATGTTTTTATTTATTTTATCCTTATCTGCTGTTACTATAATGTAATTTTAATCGTTTATTGATTGAACAGTTTATTGGTACCTTCTTATTATTAAATGTTATATTAAATTTATATTAAAGTTTTATTATTTAATTTCAGCATTAAATAATTTCTCAACTTCTCAATCCCTGATTCCTGTATTACTCGGCTACATTGTAAATGAGGGTCTCCCTCAATGTATTCTGAGTTTAAATAAAGGTTGATTGCTTGATTGATTTCTAAACTCATCACCATTCTTCTACACCAGGGATATTCAGCTCCAGTGCTAGATAACTGATGTCTAGCAAAGTGTCAATGTTCCTTGTCAAACAACTGATTTCACTGAATTAACTGCTAGTTAGGTGTGTTGGAGCACAGAAGTCACCAAACTGTGCTGGACACCTCTGTTCTGCACCTAGAAAGGCTGCAAAAAGTGAAAACATCTTAAAACTAGTCACCATCTGCAGTATTTCTCATTATGGGGTAACTAAGAATATTCTAAGATTATTTAACTTATTATTAGATTTTTTAGTTGTTTTTTCGGCCCAATCCCATTTCACCCCTCGCTCCTACCACTTAACCCTTAGCCCTTAGGGGTAGGGTGTCCCGATTTTTGTCGAGATAGAGGGGTAGGGCAAGGTATTATGGCGACATGGCCCTCCAAACAGAGGTTTTTCAGAGGCACACTCCAAACAGAGTGTTATGAAAAAAAAGAAAAACGTTAAAAATTGTGATAACCATTGTTTTATCTTAGTTTAGTGTCGTTTCAATGTATTATGATCCTTTTATTCATAATAATTATTTAATTTTAATAATTTAATAATGTAATAATTATTCATAGCATAAAAAATTGCTATTAATGGGGCTCCCGAGTGGCGCAACCGTCTAAGCGTTGGCCCTGTCATCAGGAGATCGCGAGTTCGATCCCTGGTGATGCTACAGCCGTCCGTAGCCGGGAGTCCGAGAGAGCACAATTGGCCTCGCTCTCTCTGGGTGGGTAGGATGGCCCCCCCTTCTCCCCCCATCACTCACTCAGCGCGATGCTAGTCAGCGCAGGCGTCTGTTAGCTGACGTAACAGATCTGGCGGTTGGCGCTTTCCTCCGAGCGCGTTCGGCTGTCCAGTGACGTTGCGTGAGCAGCAGTTTGAAAAGAAAGCGGTGGCGCTTCACAGGTCTCGGAGGAAGCCTGTGTTAGCCTTCACCCTCCTAGTGTTGATAGCATCGTGTGACTGGGGGAGTCCTAACTAGCAGGGTGGAATTAGCTACGACTAAACTGGGGAGAAAATTGGAGTAAAAATTAAAAAAAAAAAAATTGCTAGCTAAATTTTCAGTTCCACCTTGAATAGATAAGGTGAAATTATGAACAAGAAGCTGGTGAATATCTGACTTCAGCTTTATATCACCAAAGAACTAGAGGTGGGTGATAATAAATAATTGCCCCCCTCTTTGAAGTCATATGATGCCCTAAATGTAACTAAAGCCCAGCAGTGAGGAGCTGAACTTTACCCTCCTCTGCTGTCACTGCAGACTGGCAGGGTCGCCTAGAAACCAGCGCTAGTAGCCTGTTAGTAAGGTTGATTTTTATTTGAGGGTCCCATTTTGTAGGGAAGATTTTAACCACTAGCCGTTATAACTCAGTTCCAAGGGGCAAGGAGACACTCGAAAACAAGGGGTAGGGGTAAAAATAAGAAATGGGATTGGGCCTTAATGTAGAGAAATCAGATGATTTTGCTTGTCTCAAGATATAATTCTTAACGCAGTCAAAACGAAATTTAAATCTTATAATATTCTGTATAACAATCTAAAATGAGAACTATTACATATGTTGCCTAGATTTAAGATGATTTCACTTGCTAAGTTACCATTTTTTGCAGTATATGTAAGCCATGTTTACATCTAACATGAAACACTGCCAACAACACTGAATCTCTTAGAGGCAGGAAGGCTCACTTTAGCTGGGTGATGACCGACGGCAGCATCTCAGCCAGTTCATCCATCATAGGGTACTGATACCTGAGAGAGAGAGTGAGAAAGAGACAACTCAGACTTGAATCTGCTGGAAAAAACATCTTCAGCTTTCTCTTACTGTATATGATCTTGGCCTAAGTGACAAAATTACAAACAAAATCTAGCCTTCAAGGTGGCTGATTCCCACAGATAACACTGTCATACTTAGTCAAAAACAATTTTATTTTGAGATCCATAACAACCTGCTGTGGTTTGACCCAGGTGATTATTTAGGCATGCAGGCAGTACCATGTATGGCTGTAAGCCTCTATTAATTGTTAGCCACATCAGCCTTGTAGCTCCAGTGCAAAACTGAAGAAGCAAACTCTGGACACAAATATATCTTGGCCGCTCGACTACACCTGGAGGAAGTGGTAAAACTGTGTAAATGAAACTGTCGCTACAAGTAAATACCTCATAACTGAGCCTCAGCACTGAATTAAGGCTTACATAAAATCACCACCAACCTCCAGAACACAGGAAGTACAAACATCTTCAACAAAAGAATTCTAAACAGTGAAAGACCAGACTACACTGCAGAATGGAAACAGATGAACTTCAATATATGAAACATATGAGTCTTAGGCTACGTTTACACAGCAGGTAAAAGTGGCCCAAATCTGATTTTCTCACCAAATCAGATTTTTTTGTTTGGTTGTTCACAGTATCTTTTAAATGTGATCTGTATGTGACATCAGTCTGAACAGATCAGCTCCTAAACTGACCCGCATGCACAAAAGAACAGAGCGTCACGCTGCTTCACGGCTCATCCAGAGGTAAACAATCACGACCGCCAACGAACGCCAGTCGCTCCCGGAGGATCAGCTTCATCTTCACCAGCATCACAGGAGCCATCATGAAGCTTCACTGACTGACAGCTGGGCTCATCACCCAGAATGTGTTCGAGCCGTAAAAAGGGCGTGGTCACTTCTTTGACGCTGCAGCCTCGTTCTCCTGCGGCCGCGCTCGGACCTTTCTTACGAAATCTCTTCAAACACGGAGGGTTTTGGATGAGTCTCTAATTTTTGTACTGAAACATCAGCCTAAATGTTTATGAGTCTCAGCAGCGCGAAATGATGACGAATGTCGAGTTGGATTGACGTAAAAGTCGCATCAATTCCGATCTGGCTGTTCAGACTGAGTCACATTGCCGCAGATCGGATACGGATCGGATTTCAGTACCACATATGAAAGCTCCTCAAATCGTAATTGAAAATGTCAGATTCAGTGTGTTTATCTGTTCACACTGACACACAGACACACCTCTGTGTGACATATGATGAAAAAGATCTGATTTGGGCCACTTTTACCTGCTGTGTGAACAAAGCCTTACTTAAAAAAAACAAAAACAAAACCAAAACAAACACACACAGCATTCCCAACTGTTCTATACGTTTATTCCTATCTAACCTGGTCTTTGTGTTATTTTATCTTTCTACTGCGCCAATAATGAGTCTTGGCTCTTACCCGCTGGGGAAGGGTGGTGCGTTCTCCTGCTGGCCTGGAGCATCCACATGGACCACAGCGAAGTGCTGTGTGATCTCCTGCATGTCCTCGAAGTTAAACAGTGTGTTGAAGCACGATTTATCTGCAGTGAGCAAAGAGAACACGGGTAAAACCAACCATAAAACCAATTACATTTCACGAACTGTGGCTATGTTGTGCTCAAGGATGTCCACTTCTTAAAGGGGAATTCCACCAACTTTTTTTCTAAATTTCTGCATACATCTCTTATTGAGATGTAAATAAAGTCATTCAGAGTGGTTTGATGTGAAATGGCTCATGGTAGAGAAACCTAAAGACAGTGGTGGTCATAGCAACCAGGAGTCACAATGTCTACAACACAAATGTAGACATTTAACACCGATCAGGCCTAACATTATGACCACCTCCTTGTTTCTATGCTCATTGTCCATTTTATCAGCTCCACTTACTATATAGGTGCACTTTGTAGTTCTACAGTTACAGACTGTAGTCCATCTGTTTCTCTGATACTTTGTTAGCCCCCTTTTACCCTGTTCTTCAGTGGTCAGGACCCCCATGGACCCTCACAGAGCAGGTACTATTTGGGGGGTGGATCATTCTCAGCACTGCAGTAACACTGACGTGGTGGTGGTGTGTTAGTGTGTGTTGTGCTGGTCTGAGTGGATCAGACACAGCAGTGCTGCTCGAGTTTTTAAACACCTCCGTGTCACTGCTGGACTGAGAATAGTCCACCAACCTAAAATATCCAGCCAACAGCATCCTGTGGGCAGCGTCCTGTGACCACTGATGAAGGACTAGAGGATGACCAAGACCAACACAAACTGTGCAGCAGCAGATGAGCTATCGTCTCTGACTTTACATCTACAAGCTGGGCTGACAAGGTAGGAGTGTCTAACAGAGTAGACAGTGAGTGGACACAGTGTTTAAAAACTCCAGCAGCACTGCTGTGTCTGATCCACTCATACCAGCACAACACACACAGATGGACTACAGTCTGTAATTGTTAAATTGAGAACTATTTTGTCTTAGAACGCCCTGCAAGTACCTTTTAACCAATAATGTACTTCAAAATATGTTTACAAAACTATCATAAAAAGATTTCAAGAATCAGGCAGCGTATTTATAACTCTTTCATCTAACAGCTTTCTGTAAGGAAGCTTTTAGCGGTATCAAATTCTTCAGACGTCTGGTTCCCATCACCACCACTGTGAAAAATTCTGACTCCCTAAGTTTTTCTACAATGGAGCATTTCACATCAAATCACTCTCATGTGAAACCTTAACCATTCAATTACGCAGACATTTTTGAAAAATTGGTGGAATTCCCCTTTATCAGAATACAAGCCTAATGCAGGGGCCTCAAACTACCAGCCCACGGGTCACATAAGGCCCGTGAGACAGTTCCATACAGTCATCTTTTTCTTTTTTCCACAGCTAAAAATTCAGATCTGGTGAACAGATTTGCTTCACCCACCAGATGCTGTGGCTGGTTACCCAACATAAGCTAGATAAAATCAGCTTAGGCTGTTCTTACATCGTTATAATATAGTGCTGCATGTGAGAGGAACCATTCAAACAAAAACCTGATGGAGCATGAGTGGCCATGACTGTCATTCAGCGGAGGTTTTTCAGAGGCTCACTCCAAACGGAGTGATATGAGAAAAAAAGAAAAACCAGCTAGATGGAGAACAAGAGACCAAAGAAACCCACAAATGTAAGTATTTTCTCTGTTTAAAAATTACGATAATCATTGTTTTTTCTTAGTTTAACATCATTTCAGTGTATTATGGTAATTTTCTTCATAACAAGCATAAAAAATCGCTAGCTAATTTTCCCGTTCCACCTTAAATAGTCCAGCAGTTCTGACACCTGAAGTGCCAGAATGTAACTGCTGCACCATTTAAGGTGGAACGGGGAAATTTAAACAAGAATCTGGTGAATATCTGACTTCAGCTTCATATCACTGAAGAATCAGTGGTGGGTGATAATAAATAACTGCCCCCTCTTTGAAGGCATATGATGCCCTAAATGTAACTAAAGCCCAGCAGTGAGGAGCTGAACTTTACCCTCCTCTGCTATCACTGAAGACGGGCCGGGCCGCCTACAGAGCAGCGCTGGTAGCTGTTAATGAAGCAATGTTTTTTTTTTTGGTTTGTTTTTTTGTTTTTTAATTTGAGGGTTGTCCCATCCTGTAGGGCAAGATTTCCACCAGTTCCAAGGGGTTAAGGTGACAATCGAAAACAAGGGGTAGGGGTAAAAATAAGAAATAGGACTGGGCCTAAGTCTTCACTTTAGTTTTGCATCTGTATCTGTTTCCTTCTGGAGTCTACAGGCCACCATATTGTAGCCCTGACCCAGTGGCCCACATCCAGCCCAAGCAGCACTCCCTCAATCTCGCATTATTCAGCTACAGATCTACCTAAGCAGTCAGACAGTCAGAGTCAGATGCGTTCTCAAACCAGGGCAGGACAATAATCTTGTAGAATGTCTTAGAACATCTTGTAAGATTCTTACCGTGATATACCATTTCTTACTGTGATTACATGTAAGGTTCTTCCGGTAAACGTCCGGTAAAAAAAGAGCAGCATATGTTTAACAGCACTAGCAGCTGTAGTGTTAGACCACCTACACATTATGCTTCACTACCCTGTTGGAAATTGTTCTATTTTGATGTATTTTCTAGTTTTCTGTTTACTTTGCTTTGCTTCAATTGTTATTCACTGTTAAACAGTATTAATGCTGAAGGGTTTAGGAAGCCACCTCCATTTCTGTTCTAGGGGTTTGAACAATTACATCAAATGGTCTTACAATGGTCTGAGCTGCTGTTTAGATTGGGGTGAGACTTAGGCAGGTATATGGAGCGCTCTCTTTTTAATAAAACCATCCCCGGTCTCCTGAATCTCTTCCATGGCAAGATTAAAGACTTACAACAACCCTCACCCTTTAGAAAGAGTTTAGGCTTTCGCACACTTTAGGTGGGCAAATTCTCCGTAACAGTGGTTCTCATAATTTTGAAGGGTCGTGGGATGATTGTTTAAACAAGATTTGACTTGACTACTGTAATGCTCTTCTTACTGGACTTCCTAAGAAAACTATACATCCCTTACAACTCACACAAAATGCAGCAGCATCCTAACAAAAACAAAACTGAGTTTTTAAGGCTCTACATGACCTTAAAGCACCGCTTACATCACAGAGTGTCTGTCTGTTTGTGATCTTAGACCTGCAGATACTGACCTTCTGAACACCTTCAGTAAAATACAGAAAACAGAGAGACTCGTTCAGTTATTCTGCTTCTAAACTGTGGAGCTCAGTTCAGCTTTTATTAGACAGTAAAGCTCAGAGCTCACTTTTAAGAAGCAGCTAAAAATGTCTTTAACTCAGCATTTAATTAAAACTCTACATCTCGTGGTTTTTATCTTCTAATTTGATCTGTTTCATTTTCTTCTGATTCTAAATAAATACTAATGATTTCTTGTGTAACTATGTTTTATCACCTGTCTGTAAAGCACTTTGAGCTGCAACCGGCATGAAAAGTGCTATATAAATAAAAATTATTATTACTATTATGATTCTTCTTCTTATTATTATTAAGATTATTCTGAAAATGACTATTCCATAAAATCTCCCACACCACTGATATTATAATCTCATTATAAGTCAAACAAATACTGGCTGCGTGAGAAAAGGCCTGCACACACCTACACAAAAAGTTTCTGTACTGGAACTGTTGGCAGCACTTAATGGAACAGCTACATTTACAACCTTTCATGTGCATCAACATTACATTATCATTATAACATCATTATCATTTGCAAATCATCCACATTTTGAGCATTGGCCTGTCTGCCCACTAACCAGTTTCCTCAAACACATTTCTGTTGTTATCCTACTGTTATTTAACGTTTAAAGTATTTTTATTGGATGTCTGTAAATATTATCATACATTTCAAAAGTATAACTAAAACCAAAATGGACATTCATTTTGTTCTGTTCAGTTAGTTAAGTGACCCTTATGAGTCCCACAACGGGGAAATTTCACCTACGCATTTTAACCCATCCGTGCAGTGAAACACTACATGCTCACTAGTGAACACACACACACGGGGGCAGTGAGCACACTTGCCCCAGGGCAGTGGCAGGCCTATCCGCAGTGCCGGGGAGCAGTTGGGTCAGTCACGTACTGTCGGCTCAGGGGATTGAACTGGCAACCTTATGGTCACAAGGCTGGTTCCCTAACCTCCAGCCCACGACTGCCCCCAGGGCAGGGTTTGAGGGTTACCTTATAAATGTATTCGGGTACAGATGACTGATTAAATAATTTAATCTGTAACCTAATCAAAAAGATTACTATATTAATGTAATGCAATTATGTTTCATTACTTTTAAATGATTTCGATTTTTAAAGTCATAGAATTAAACAAGAAAAAACAATTTCAGAAAGATTTTTTAGCACAAGACAAACAGAAAAACTGCACAGTTTTTGAAGCAAAATGATAACATTATATCTGACTTAACCATCTGGGCTTTGCACCGAAATAAAAAGGTCAATCGGGCAGAAACTGGAGGAATTTAACTCCTTTACTGATTTTATTATACGGTGAGTGGGTGGGTCGGTCTATCTTTCTATCTATCTGACTGACTGACTGGTCGGTCGGTCGATATATCTGACTAACTGACTGGTCGATCGATATATCTGACTGACTGGTCGATCAGTCGATCTATCTATCTGACTGACTGACTGGTCGATCAGTCGATCTATCTATCTGACTGACTGGTCGGTCGGTCGATATATCTGACTGACTGACTGGTCGATCGATATATCTGACTGACTGGTCGATCAGTCGATCTATCTATCTGACTGACTGACTGGTCGATCAGTCGATCTATCTATCTGACTGACTGACTGGTCGGTCAGTCGATATATCTGACTGACTGGTCGATCAGTCGGTCTATCTATCTGACTGACTGACTGGTCGGCCGGTCGGTCTATCTATCTGACTGACTGACTGACTGGTCGGTCGATATATCTGACTGAACGACCGGTCGGTTGGTCGGTCAGTCGTCTATCTATCTGACTTACTGGTCAGTCAGTCGGTCGTCTACCTATCTAAATGACCGGTCGGCCGGTCGGTCGTCTATCTATCTTACTTTCTGGTCAGTCGGTCGGTCGTCTATCTATCTGACTGACTGACTGGTCAGTTGGTCTATCTATCTGACTGGTCGGTTGGTCGGTCAGTCGTCTATCTATCTGACTGACTGGTTGATCGGTCAGTTATCTATCTGACTGACTGGTTGATCGGTCAGTTATCTATCTATCTGACTGACTGACTGATCAGTCGGTTGGTCGTCTATCTATCTGACTGACTGGTCAGTCGGTCAGTCGTCTATCTATCTGACTGACTGGTTGGTCGGTCGGTCCGTCTAGATAGATAGGTAGATAGACAAATAGACAGACAGACAGACAGACAGACAGATAGATAGTATGACACTTCTTTAGAAAGACTGGTGATGCACTTTCTGCTTGGTGGAGAACTCACGGTTGAGGCCAATGTCATGGTAGGTCAGGATGACGGGCCGGTTGCCTTTGGGCGTTCCCCTCAAAGTGACATGAAGAACTCCGTGGGGAGTCTCGATATCATGCTCCTGGAACCAGAAAGAGGAGAGGACAAATTATAGTTCTTCAAGAGTGAGAAATTTCAAACATAATTGCAAAAGGTCATGAATGAGCCCAGCCTTGACGAGGTCAGAGAACTGCACGGACAAAAGAGGAGCTGAAGTTGTTGACAGAACACCTACAGCAGGCAAGGCCACCAACACCGCCACAACAGGAAACAGCGTCTCAGCCTTATTCACTCATACAAAAACAGACGCTCTGTAGCAGATAACACTCGGGATGACGCTCGGCCTTAATCTAATAACCTGATTATGGTACATCTGTCTGGCCGCAGCCTAGAACTCCATATCTGCATTAAAATCAGCCAAGCCTGAAGGCCACAGACTGACCATGAACAGACATGCAGAAGTAATACATCACTTTCTACTGAGGCTTTTAAGAGAGGACCATACCCAACTCACTATACGTGCATGTGCGCCCGCCTGGGTTAAGTGTGGGTGTTTGGTTTCCGTCCATAGCCGATGTTTGCCGTTGCACAGCACCACAAAACCGCTTAAAAGTATGTCAAGAGCATTGCTTGGGCCAGAGCTATGGCTGCAGTGGACACCTCAGTTTCACTCATATACATAAGCACACATACACAAACAACAACCACAATGGTTACTTAAAAGCACCCAATCCAACATCTGAGTGGAAATGAAAAACATCAAGCAATCTCTACTTTACACAGTGTTTAGCCAGATTTAGGTATGTATGTTTAACAACAGAACAGTCAGTCTTTAGGTATAATCATCCTACAAAGGTGACATATACTATAAATCTGAAATCAGCACTTAAGAAGATTCCATTTACAGGAATATTTTGGCAATTCACACAAATTTCCACTTAGCCCAGATGTAGATGATTAGCCAAGACATGTTTCAATTAATTAATCAATCAATCAACCTTTATTTAATCTCTGAGAACATTGAGGGTGACCCTCATTTACAATGTTGCAGAGTTGATACAGAACAAGGGATTTATAATATGTAAGAACATATCAAATAATAAGTAAATTAAATTAAAAAAATGACTCAAATCAGGTAAGTATATAAATTTTTTTTTAACATTAATAATAAAAACACAAAAAAAACGTAGAAAATATAAAATAATTAAAAAGTTAATAAAATCAAATCAAAATAAAATAAAAGGAGAATAAGATCAAAAGTAAACAAAAAATTATTAAAATGACTAAAATAATAATACATAATCATAATTAAAATATGAATATGAATAATAATAAATAAATAAACAAATAAATAATAAAATAATGAAAGTAAGACAATAATGGTAAAAAAAAAAATCTGGTAAATCAGTTATTTAGAGCCCAAATATTCCTTCTTTAGTTCAGAAATGAAGCGGTGAAGTTACCGTTGTTAACAAACACTAGAACTCAAATGAGTTTGTTTGCAGGCAACGGTAGCCAGTAGCAAACATAGCTATAGTTCTAAACCAAAGAAGCTAAATTTGGACTCCAAACATATCTTGGCTAAACAACTACATTTGAGTTAAGTGGAAAAATTGGGTAAATGTAATTTTTCGTCAAACTAGTCTTTTAAGGTAGCTTTGGGGTGATTCGAAAACGACTTTGCTCAGTTTTCTCTTTACCACAGAATTAATTCAGGGCTCTCTGATACAAAAAAGCGTTTCTAGTCTGATTGGAATTGGCCGAGATCAGAATGAGCTGGTTTATTATTTTCAATTTGGATGATGCTGCCACACCTGTACCAAATTTCTGTAGCATAGCTGCGGCACAATTACGCATGACTCATAGTGCTAAACAGCCAGTCGCCTTTTATTTGGGCGTTGCACTTAATTTGATTTCATATTATTCAAACAGGAGGTTTGTGCTGCTCACTGCTGCTCATCTCACTCTGACTGGACTCACGTGATGCTGGTTGTCATGGTAACGTCTACACTAAGCGGTTCTGCACGCTCGTCGTTTTGGATCGGATTACTTGTAGTGAGCATGTAAACGGAGGTTTTCCATCAGAGTGTTGAGTAGAGTGAGAATAAACACCTCAGTCTTAATCTGTAATCGGAACGTATTCAATCAGACCGGCAAAAATCTTTGCATGTAAACAGCCAGTTATCTCTCAATGCTCAGTCAGGACTAGTTGTTCCCCTTTTACATCTCGTGATATGAATAGAAAAGTCCTGATCCTAAACCAGTTCCTAACAAACCCTTAACAGAGGTCAAGTCTGATGTGTGCTTCTCCTGCGATGTTCAAAAACAGCTGTAAACCCAGAGACCACCATTTTCAGGCAAAACGGTAGGTCACTTCTGGCCTTCGTAACTTCAGAACGGTTTAAGTTACAGACATGATCCACATATCAGGACATTCAGCAGACCCGCCCCTAACTAGCAAGCATGACGTCATCGAGCTGTGACGTCAGATCAGTGAGTAATTTGGCTCTGATATTATTGCTCTGCTGTTTGGCCTTCATATTCCAACAAAAGGTTAAAACAGTGACATGATTCACACATCAGATCACTGATCAGACTCTGCCTCACCGTCCAGAGCGATTTCATCCACGTGACCATCAATCAGCCAGAGATCAGCTCCAAAATCACCCAAACCCACTCACTACTGTTATACTACATCTCTGCTTTCAGCCTTCATATTATAAACAAAGGGCTCTGTTTAGATTGATTTTGAGTATTAAAAAATATCCGATATTAAATATGCAACTCACTTCATAATTAAAAATAAAGCCTGTTTTGCTGTGTATCAGTTTCAGCACTCAGCATGAATCCAAGAGGACTGAAAATCAATAAAAAAAAACGTCCACCTTATGCTAATTGTTTATTTTTACTCATTATAACCAACAGAATGAATCACCATCAGAATTATTGCAGTTTCAGCTCACAGACACTCCAGACTAACAATTTCTGAAAAGGTAACTGCAACTGCACTTGTTTTTAAGATCTCTATAATTAAAAAAAATACTAAATTTAGCAGGTGCTGGGTAAATTTTAGATCATAAATGACCCAAATTCATAACGATATCAGATTTCTGTTAGCATATACATATATATAACAGTATGTCAAACAATGGCATATCTGAGTAGCCCAGGGTCTCCTGAAAATAACAACATATGGCATGTGTGACCGTCACATGTAAATACTTTATAATTGTAATTTTAATTAACCCCAAAAAATACCAAAAAGATCCCCCAAATTTGAGATTTCTAAGGGTTAAATAAAATACTCAATTTAACTAGTCTAAAAAATTAAATACCAGTTCTACAACAGCAGCTACTATTACCAGCAGCACTCTTCAGCTCACACCTGCAAACCCTGCATTCTCAAGCATAGTGAAGGTGCAGGGGATAAAAATAGATGAGACAGTTGGAGTGAGTGAGAGTATGTATGAGTGTGTGGCCACAGACCGTGTGTGTGTGTCTATTCATAACATCTAAAGCGTGCTGGATGACATATGATTGCTGTCTGATCTTCTGATGCTTTTTCTCCATAATTTTAACAGCCCGCTTCTTTACAACAGATGTTTCAGCATTGAAAGGCTGTCACACACAGGAGTAAACCTATGAAAAAACTCAACAAATCAATGTAATAAAATGTGTGTGTCATATTCGGGTCACATTTCCCAAAGACTGCGGTATCGTTTTCAAACAGGGCCAGAAGGACAAGAAGCTTGAACTCACTTATAATGTCACTTTTCATATGAACAACATTACTGCTTTGCATAACGCTATTATTATGCAAAAAACTTTATGCATAAGAGATTCACAGAACATAAAAGCATTATACTGCAGGAAGACCCTTTATCACCAAGACCTAGGCCCAATCCAATTTCACCCCTCGCCCCTTTCGCTGAGCCCTTAGCCCTCTTTTTTGGCTATTCTCGTCTAGGTTGTCTTGATTTTTGTTGACATGGAGAGGCAGGGCGAAGTGTTAGGGCTACCTGGCCCTCCGAACGGAGTGCAAGCAAGCAAAGAAACACACGAATGTGAGAATTTCTGTTAAAAAAATTACGATAGCCATGTTTTATCTTAGTTTAATGTTGTTTCAATGTGTTATGGTCGTTTTCTTCATAACAAGCATAAAAAATCGCTAATAGTACACTTATGTCTCGGTAGCAGTCTAGCTAAATTTCCCGTTCCACCTTAAATAGTCCAGCAGTTCTGACACCTGAAGCGCCAGAAGGTAACTGCTGCTCCATTTAAGGTGGAACGGGGAAATTCAGACAAAAAGCTGGTGAATATCTGACTTCAGCTTCATATCACTGAAGAATTAGGGGTGGGTGATAATAAATAATTGCCCCCCTCTTTGAAGGCGTATGATGCCCTAAATGTAACTAAAGCCCAGCAGTGAGGAGCTGAACTTTACCCTCCTCTGCTGTCACTGCAGACTGGCCGGAAGTATTGCTCTTTTTATTTGAGGGTCCCATTTCATAGGGGAAGATTTCAACCACTACCCCTTGTTACTCAGTTCCTAATATGGGCATAACGAGGACTACAGAATGATGCACGACTACAGTGGTCTATAGGTCCAATTAACCTACTGCTGTGCAAAGCATTCAAATCTGAAGCAAACCATTTAGTCGGCTCATTTGAGACCTGCCTGTTTCAATTTTTCCACTTAAAAAGTTGATACATCGCTGATACAACGAGTACTGAGCTGCTAAAGAGCCACCACACTCTCCGAAATAAAGGTACTAACCTGTCACTGGGGCAGTGCCCCTCCTGTCACTGGGGTGGATCCCTCAAAGCTCCATCTCAGTACCTTTAGTCAGGGAACATAACTGAACCATAATCCACTGAAATGATATGTTCTAAGCTGTACTGACTCCACACACCCCGTCTCGTCTCCAGGCTTTTATTTTACTGTTCTGTTTTAAAACATTCGGTTATGAAAAGGTACAAATACGAACTTTTCACCTGGAAACACTTATTTAAGGTTCACAATCAGACCTTAAAACCACTGTTGAACCTTTGAGGGAACGTTTAAATTGTTGTACCTTGATG